GCGTGTTGGTACGTTTGCTTTTCCAGGAGCAGATATTAAACTCTGACTCTTATCAAACACACAGACATGTGACCAGCATGAGCGCTGTGCTCAGCACCTCTATGATGTTTTAGTTTGTTCTCTATGAGAAACGTTGAATCAGAAAGTTAGAAATGTCCTCACAAACACTTACAAACAAGCTCAATCGCCTCAGCCTGGAGAGGCTGGTGGCCGTCCATCTTCTCCACACGGCCGTGCTGCTGGTTCTGGTTTCTCTAGAGAAGCTCTGATGCAGTGGTGGTCTTTGCGATCCCGTGTGATCTGGACGAGGTCACACGAGAGCACGTTGCTGTGTGGCCCTAAAGCACGCTCCAGTTTCACCTTTGACCTCTCCGTTTGTCTGATTTGCTACATCATCAAGTTCTCTGAACCCTAAACTGGATTTTGAATCAAACGCCTGCACCACTGTTCAGGTTCTTAGACACAGTCGGCCGAACTGTAAACACACTCTCAACCACAGCGTGTTTAGTTGTAGAGCACATCAGCTGGCCAGAGAAGGGCACCAAACCGAGTCAAAGGACAAGAGTCACAGCAGTCCTGCAAACAAAAGGCAAAACACAGGAAATGCCTTCAAAACCAACACTACGGCAGAGAATAAAAACAGACAATTACACAAAGAAGCATCATAACAACCAGCTGACTAAAATAGAGGCGGGGCATAGAACAGAAAAAAAAACAGTCAACAGGCAAAGCTCAGCAACCAAAGGCTAACTGATAGAAATGCTACTGCTGACCGGATTTGAACCGCACAAGCGATGGAGCCCGTCGCTCGAGCAGAGGGAGTGCGATCCAACGTTTGGGAGCAGCTCGTGAGAAGGCCTCCCCCCACAAGATTTGTAGCTAATTTTAGGAAGGCACATGGCCTGGGGGGGGTCTCGGACAGACTAAACACGTCTCACACATGTTGGACCAAAGTGAAGCACAGCTGCCCTCGTTTACACGTCGACTCTCAAACTCACGTTTCTACAGACGTGATCAGATCAGAGGTTCAGGATCTAAGTCAGTTCAGAGTCTCCTCTTCACTAGTCAGGCGTGTTTTCAGCTCTGGAGTCACTCAGATGAGTCTGTGGCCTGAAACCACAACATGCAACAGATGAGCATCCTTCCTCGTTCCCACCTCAGCTTCTGTGTCACAACACACACAGCCCTGGTGTCACCACTCAGCTCTGCTTGCAAGAGGTGTGGCTGCAGCAAACCAGATCCCGTCCTTTACGACCAAACCATTTCATAGTACTTATTATAGGCAGTTACTTATGTCATGGTAACTGTTCACTTCCTGCAGGTGGATCTGATGTTCCTGACTGGATGATCGGGGATAGGGAACAAATTACTCAGATGCATCAGCGGGGGCCAGTGAGACGGGGGGCTTTATTCTTGCCCTGGCCCCTGAAAGGCCTTGAAACGGCACTGAGGTTCGAAGGTGATCTGAATTGTATCAAATTTATAAATATTACATGCTCATTTATTGCTTTATAAAGTTAAAATCATGTAGTGAGATAATTTTGTTTTCCTTTTCAAACACTTTGTTTGTTTTCTCGTTTTTATGTCACTATTTTCCTGCCCGGCTCTTTTCTTCCTGCATCTCCTCTCAGTCCTACAGAAACACTTCCTGTGCAAAAGCTTCCTATATTTCACCTCCTGAGTTGCTTTTGAATTAAGCAGATGCATGTGCAAAAATAGTAATGCACAGTAATATATGGTTGATGTCATCAATGATCTACTTGGGCCAAGCGCGGCTGTGCATGAACGTTCGGAGAGGCTGCTGCTGCGGCGCGGAGCGCGCATTCAGATGCACCTGATCCGGTAATCGTGGTTACGGACCTTTAGGTTCTGGGAGTGTGATGTTGAACAGAAAACATCCTCGGTAAATAATTCTGGTGACAGTAAAGTCGTATTCAGTTCAATTCAATTCAAAAATACTTTATTAATCCCAGAGGGAAATTGATTGCTGTAGTAGCTCAGAATAATAATAATAATAATAATCAAGTCATCAAAGCGTTGTTGTATATTACAACGGCTGTTGGCAGGAAGGATCGTGTAATGATAGATTTAGAAGCAATGTGTCATGTGATTATTTACCTTAGTGTATCAGCGTAAGTCATTTACCTATTAAAACATATTAATCACAACATTGTGATTTCACAGATCGGTCACATTGTATTATTGACTAGCAGTTGTTTATAGAGTGCTTTGATTTTGATAAAAGAATGGAGTCTTCATCTTCTGTCTTCATTCCTGGAATGGTAAACAGTTTAGAAGCGAATGCATGACCTTGAGGCTGTCTCATGCACTCTGGCGCTGTGTCAAAGGCAACTGTGGAAAATAACCTTGGAGGAATAGCTCCTTCATCACGTTACACTCGTTGACACCACAAACGCACAGACTTCCAAACTTTCGGACATCTCCGGTGATTTAGCCTGAACAAAGATCCATCCGCAGCTGTTTCTCCTGTCAATAACGCTCCAGGCTGTGCAGCTCCTCTCTCCTCGTCTCTCAAGCCTAACTTATGCTTCTCCGTCGGCACGGACGCACGCACCGCCTTTATTCCTCCTGTCAAGGGCTCTCCAGCAGGCTGGCAAGGAAGGACAGAGTCAAGCTGTCTTTTCTAAGCATCCATCTAACAAGACGGAGAACGCAAGCTTGTGATTGGTCAGGATGCCGCTGTCGTTGTCAGCACCGCCATTGCACCCTCAAAAACATGGAGAGTCGAAGATATCTAGTGGCAGACACGGAGCAGCTTGAAGAGCACCTCGCAGAAAAACAAACGCTTTATTCCCCCGTGACTGGAGGAGTGAAAAGATACGCAGGCGTTTGATTCGTGGAGGGAAATGACGGGAAACGTGGGTTTAGAGGTGGCGAGAGCATGAAGAGGTGGAGGAGGATGACAGTTGTCCGTGTTAAAAAGTCTCTGAAATACAAATAACACAATATGAACACACTAACTTGGACCGGATCCATGACAGCATACCGCAGAACAGTGCTACGCCCTCTAGTGTCCTGGCGGGACATGAAGGCTAAACGTCTCCGTCCGTCCGTGTCTCTCCTTGGTGGAGCTGATGGAGTCCAGGCTTCACCCTGCGAGGCTGGTGTGCACCGCGTCTCTGACCTCCGTAACCCCAGACCTGCTGATCAGAGCGTCGCTCAACCAGAGGCAGAGAGAAAGAACACACCAACGTATTTATTAATGTCGACAAACAATGTAGCGAGGCATCATTTCACCTTCAGTTCTTCTCACTGAAGCAAACCTTAACTTGTACGAGGAAATGGAAGACATGAAAAGAATCAGGAAAGCAGGAAGAAATGTTGTTTCTGTTTTATATTTTTCACTTTATTTTAAACTATAACTGTGTGTTTTTATTACATTTAGATTGTAATTTACTTAAATATCTTCATCTTTATGAATCTTATGTGTTCGTTTGAAGAGTGAATCATAACAACATCAAAACTACTTGAATGTTTATTTTTAAATACGTTTTGAACATTGTTTGTTCTGCTGAAATCCATCTGGTATGTGAGGATGTAAAACACCATTTGGACATAAATAAATAAACAGAAGTCCAGAATATGTTGTTATACAGATTTAAGGCCAGATGGCCCATCCCCCCCCCCCCCCCCCCCCACCCGCACGGCATGTGCTCCATGTCTCTGAATCAGCCCACCTGATTTATAGTTTTGCATTGCTCTCTCAGGATGACATCAGGTGCTGCAGAAGCCTGTTAATCACTATTCATTTAGACCAGGTGTTTGGCAGCAGGGAAACACCTAAAACATGTAGGACGGGGGTGCTGAGGACCAGGGCTAAGACACACTACATGAAGGAAAAACCAGAACCGGCCTCCAGTTCCTGGCTGGCTGCGGCGTTTAGGAGTAGCTACATATGAAACAAATGATCAATAAGATGTGATTATCCCATGTAAATACCAAATATCAGTCTGATTGATCGTTGAATTCTAGTTTATTTTACTTATTGGTTAACCTCCTCTGGAGGTTTCTTCCTGTTAAAAGGGAGTTTTCCTCTCCACTGTCGCTGCATGCTTGCTTGGTATGAGGATTGCTGTAAAGACTCTGACACTAGTCAGTGACTCGACGCGACCTGCTGGGTTCCTTATATAGGAAACGTTTTACTGATTGGCTTAATGAACTGACCTGTGTTGGAATGTTTATTATGTGAAGGTCCGTGAGGCGATGGAGCTTTATAAATAAACTTGAACTGAAACACTCGGTGTGTCGCTCAGTGTGACCCAATGGCTTTCGTTGGTCATTGGGTCTGATTTTGACAGAGTTTGCAATACTTTGTGCAAATACTAAAAACTGCAATTATGCCCACATTTTAGAGAAGTTGTCCGCATGAACACAGAGCAGGCTGTTGCAACTTTCCGCCTCCAGTTTCACCCAAACAAAGGCTGCGGATGGAAAAGAACGTCTGATGAAGTGGTTGTGTGCAGGCTGCACACACGAGAAAGCCTGTAATACGTTCTTTCTTACAAACAGATGTTCAGGGTGCTGAAGGCTGGTGTTTGACTAAATACTTGAACAAATAAGACACCTGGACGCTGTGTGGACCTGGACGCTGGTCTGAAGGTATGTTCTGAGAACATCCCAGCCAGCACACCCAGGTGGGTCCCATATGGAGTTCATATGGGCAAACGGTATGGGTTCCATAGAGGCCTAAATGGGTTATTAGAGGGAGCCAGGTGGTGTGACTCATACATGGGGCTCACCTGCATGGGACAGCTGGGATGGCGGGTTATTCGGTGGTTTTTAGTTGACTGGCGCTGGCAGCAGGTATGGTCTCAGCGGTTTGCAGGTTGTCTCTGGGTATTACAGAAGTGTTTGTGTGAATTCAGAGAGGAGAAGAGGAAATTCCAGTAAGTGTTGATGCCACTAGCGTCTTTGAGTAATAACTGCCACTTCCAGTTGAGCCAACAGGTCTTACCGAGCAGTGAGCCTTATTAGGACTGACGTCTGTTAGCTCTGCTGCCTTTATAAGCTGGGCTGGCGGCGGTTAGGGTAAGGGTTTAGTCTGGGCTCTGCTGCTGATCAACAACCACCAGCCATGGTCTTCCTCACTGCCATGCTCAGTGCACTCATCTGCCTCGTCTACAGCTCCACCTTACAGGTAAACCCAGCAGGTATTTACTGGCTGTAAAGCATCTTTGGACAGTTTCATGATGAATTCTGGTGTTTTATAACATCAGTGTTTCCATCCAGTCACTAATACACTCCATCCTGTAGCTTTATGAACTCTATCTGATGGATTCAGAGAGAACTAACAACCCTTTTATCTCAGGTTTCCTACGAAAACACAGAAGAAACCTCCGGTAAGACCTCTTGTGTGTGTGTGTGTGTGTGTGTGTGTGTGTGTGTGTGTGTGTGTGACACCTCTCTAGCTGGCCCTCTCTCTCTGAATCCTGCTGTTTTCCGCCCCACAGGCAGCAACGTGGACGACGATGACTTCAGTATTTCCACCTTGCTGGAGAAGGCCAACGCTAACCTGGGTAAACTCGTGCCGCCCTCAGATGATTGTGTTTTGTGAAATTTTAATTAAATCTGGAATATTTCTGTGCAACAAACCAGAAGCTACAAAAACGTGCTCAACTGCAAACACGAGTGGGCATTTTTTAACGTCTACAGTTGAGATGTAAGGAGAGACGAGTCAGAGTGGAAGACGACCCGTTCTTTCCTTTAAGATTTGTTGCCACGTCTGACCTGCTCCAAAAGCAGCTGAAGACATTCATCTAAAAGGCTCTTAGATGCTTTCTTTATGCATCTGTTAGCCAGCGTTCTGGATCTGAAGGTGACAGACAGATGACTAGTCTCCTTCCCTCCCTAGAGGACAGAAGTGCAGTTCAAACTGAACCAGAAGTGAAAAGTTGGAACCAGTTAGAAGTTTAACTTGTGAGAGTTCACGGGGTTCCTTCACTAGGAGAAAACATCTGATTTTAGATTCTGAGAGAAGTTCTTTACCTGAGCTCGAAAGGGGGCGGGGCTTGTTCACCTGAATCCTGTGAATCAGTCGTTTCTACAGGGACATTTACACTGAGTGACATGTTTTAATGATGCTTGGAGGACATGAGCATCAGGACGAGGCAGAAGAAGTGCATGTAGTCAGAAACCAGGGACACCAACATCACCCTGTTTTCATCCAGAGGAGAGCACAGCTGCTGCTCCGTAACACCACCTGTTCTTCTGCTCCTTCTCCTGCAGGAAAGAACCTGGATGAGCCTCTGGTGATGTTTGGAGACATAGCTGTTCCAACGGGTCTCCAGAACGCCGATCCCTGCACTGCACGGGGCTGCCTGTGGCCCAAAAGCAACGATGGCAACGTTTATGTTCCGTATCGGGTTTCCAACCAGTTCTGTGAGTCCGGTGGTTTGTGTGGGTGTCAGACACAGTGATGGAGTTAAAACGTTTAGATCTAACAGCTAAAACTGACCCTAAACCATCTGAGTTAGTGTAGACGGGTTGGGTCTGTGGGACTGAACAGAACCTAGCCGGTCTAGTGTAGGGCCCGGTATGTAGACGTCTGTTCATCCACCTGTCTCTGATGTTTCAAGCCCAAAGAGAACGGGACGTCATTCTCAACGGTCTTCGGTCCTTCGAAGCCTCCACCTGCATCCGCTTCAGGCCCCAGCAGCGAGAGCAGGACTTTGTGAGCATCGAGTCCCGCTCTGGGTGAGGCATGACGGTTCTGTTCGGATGACCTACCCCCACAGGGACCAGGCCTCGGGTCCAAGTGACGTTGCTCCTCTTTACTTTTAGGTGTTATTCATTTGTTGGACGCCGTGGCGGCGGACAGACCGTCTCGCTGAGTCGCCAAGGGTGTGTGTTCCACCAGATTGTCCAGCATGAGCTGCTCCACGCGCTGGGCTTCAACCATGAGCAGACGCGCTCCGACAGGGACAACCATGTGCGCATACTCCTGCAGAACGTCATATCCGGTCAGTCCAGTCTCCGCACCCACCAAAGTCTACTAGAGGAAATCAAATATATTGTTTTTCATACGATAAAACAAAATAAACATCCTTAAAAAGAATCAGGTTCTGGGTGAGAAAAGCAGAACAGAACTATGAGGTTCTGGTTCCCAGAACCTGGCAGCAGAGGTTCTGAACAACGTCTGAGTTGTGAATGTTCCTTACAGGACAAGAGCATAACTTCAGGATCATCAACACCAACAACCTCGGCACGCCGTACGACTACGGCTCCGTCATGCACTATGGAAGGTAAGCTCAGTGTCCGAGCAGAGCCAAGAGGTTCTGGACCGACTCCGGGTGTGAGTCACAGGAACATGGGCTTTGGAGCTCATTTAGGAACATCAGTGGAAACTCTGGTTCTCTCTGCTCCTCCCTAATGGTCTTTGGTCCTCTCTGAGGACTTGCCACCAGCCTCCTCTCAGAAGAGATCCCATGTGGTGACCCGCTGCAGATGCATGCGTTGTTAGTTGGTTCTGCTCTGGGCTCATTTGGACTCTGCAGGGTTCTGTAGGACTTTGTAGGACGGCTGTCTGGACCTTACTGAAGTAAGGGTTTTGATTCTGTTCACACAACGGAAACAGAACAGCACCGGTGATGTTTTTGGAGCCTTGCCAATTATCTTCAATTTTGTGTATTTTGTTCCCATCTGTGTTTTGGGTCCAGTACCGGGCCGGTCCATTTGATAAAGCAAAGGTGACTGGCCTGAGATGCCTTCCAGCAGCGGGAACCTGGAGGATGCTGGTTTGGGTTCATGGATAACCTCTGACCAACATCTGGCTCCCTTTGTGTGCACCACAGATTTGCTTTCTCCAGAAACCGAGAACCAACCATCATTCCCGTCCCTGACCCCAACGTGGAGATCGGCAGAGCCACCCAGATGAGTGCCAACGACATCCTGCGGGTGAACCGCCTCTACCGCTGCAGTAAGCTCCTCCTCCAAACACAGTCTGCTGGTTCCTGGGTTCTTGTCTTCTCCTCAGAAGATCACGTTGGACCCAACTGTGTGTCATCAACACATCAAAAAGCCTTTTAACATTTTTTTCCAGATTCAAACGTTCCTCAGAAGAAACCTTTGAAGATGTTCCGGGGTTACAGGAATCACTAGTAAGTGTTTCTGTAACTTCACACTAGTACCAGTTCAGGTTCTGGGTGGGGCAGCTTGTACTGATACATTTAGTACAAGTGCATCTGGACCTGAACAGCTGACCCTGTGGTTCTGCCTTCGTACGATGCTTCCTGTTTCCTGTGAAGCGTTGCGCTGCAGCGTGTGTGAAGCCTGAACACCAGAGAGCTTGGCCTCCTGTTTTCCTCTGTTGGAGGTTTCAGTGCCAAGTAGCTGAAGATTCCCTCTTTTCTGTTATTTTGTGTTTGTGTCACCAACAGGAAGCTGGGACGACATCGCTGTGCTTTATTCCATGGCTTGCCCACAGATGGAATCTCTGATTTCCGAGCTTTGTTCTGATCCGATGGGACAGGAACAGAAGCATCAGAACCGCTGCGTGAAGAGCTGCTCTTTGGCCCAATGCAAAACTATAACTATTAAAGGTCTACCGTGCCATTTACACGTCCAGTGTGTTTGTGTTTGAAAGAGAGACAACTATCTTTTCTATAGCGCCTCTCAAGATGAGAATCACGAGGCGCTTCACAAAAACAATATTCAGACATAAAACAAGATTTCAAAAAGCGATTAAAAATATGTTCATGAGAAAAAAATAAAACACCAGAACCAGAGGCCACACACACACACACACACACAGCCTGACTGATCCTCTCAGCAGCTGGACAAACTCTGACATATGGAGCTGAGGACGCTGGTGGAGATTAGCTTCTAGCTGGTTCAGATCTGAACGTGGGACTCAGCAGGTTCACCTGTGAGAATACCACAGATGTTACAGTCCAACATGGAAGAGGCAGTTTCTGATAATGAGTTGCATTCAATACAAGTTTATTTATAAAGCGCCAAATCACGAAAAGTCGTCTCAAGGACCTTCACATAATAAACATTCGAACACAGGTCAGGTCATTAAGCCAATCAGTACAAAGTTTCCTATATAAGGAACCCAGCAGGTTGCATCGAGTCACTGACTAGAGTCAGAGTCTTTACAGCAATCCTCATACTAAGCAAGCATGCAGCGACAGTGGAGAGGAAAACTCCCTTTTAACAGGAAGAAACCTCCAGAAGATCCTGGCTCAGTATAAGCAGCCATCCTCCACGACTCACTCAAGAAGACAGAGCAGACACACACACACACCTACAGACACACACACACTCGCACGCACACACACACACCTACACACACACACACACACACACACACACACACACACACACACACACACACACACACCTACACACACACATACGCACACGCACACACACACACGCACACGCACACACACACACCTACACACACACCCACACACACACACACACACACACTCGCACGCACACACACACACACACACACACACACACACACACACACACACACACACACACACACACACACACACACGTACACACACACACACACACTCTAACACACACACATACGCACACGCACACACACACACACACACACACACACACACACACACACACCTACACACACACACACACACACACACACACAGGCTTTGATTACTGGACCTCAGGGACCTGCTGGGGGTGTAGGGACTAAGAAGATCACCAATGTAAGATGGTGCTTGTCCATGTAAGGCCCTATAGACCAGAACCAAGTTCTTGAAATGAACCCTGAAGTTGACTGGCAGCCAGTGAAGCTGGAGGAGAAGCGGGGTGATGTGGGTGTGTTTGGAGGACTTGGTCAGAAGCCGAGCACAGGCGTTCTGAACCACCTGTAGACGGTTCAGGGAGGTTCTGCTCAGACACGTGAAAAGAGAGTTGCAGTAGTCTAAGCGTGAGGAGATGAAGGTGTGGAGAACTTTCTCAAGTTCAGAGCGGGACAGAATGGGACTCAGCTTTGCAATGTTCCTGAGATGGAAGAAGGAAGAGCGAACAAGAGAACTGACATGAGAATCCAGGGTGAGAGCTGGGTCAAAGGTCTGGTGTGAGAAGCAAGCTGGCCAAGAGAGTCTCTGAGTTTGGGAACAAGCTTGTCTGGGGCACAGATGAGGATCTCAGTCTTATCTTCATTCAGCTGAAGAAAGCTCCCAGCCATCCAGGTTTTGATAGAGTCTAAGCAGGTGTGTAACAGCTGCAGCTTAGACATCTCATGGGGCTTAAAGGAGATGTACAGTTGGATGTCATCTGCATAAAGATGGTAGGAGATTCCTTTGAAGGAGCTCAGGATGTGCTGAAGAGGACGCAGATAGAGGAGGAAGAGCAGAGGCCCCAGCACAGAACCTTGTGGGACACCATGGGTAAGAGAGGTAGTGGAGGACCTAAACTTGGAGTCGGCCACAGAAAAGGAGCGCTCAGAAAGATAAGAGGAGAACCACTCCAGAGCAGTTCCTGATAGGCCTACCCAGTCTCTCAGCCTCTCCTGTAGCAGGTGATGGTCAACAGTGTCAAAGGCTGCAGTCAGGTCCAGCAGGACCAGAACAGAACAGTCCCCTGCATCACTGTGAGTCAGAAGGTCATTGGAGACCCCAAGAAGAGCTGTTTCAGTAGAATGAGCTCTACGAAAACCTGACTGGAAGCTATCATAGATCATCAAGAGCAGCTGCGAGTTGTTTAGCCACAACCTTTTCCAAGATCTTGGAGATGAATGGAAGTTTAGAGATGGGTCTGAAGCTGCTATGGAGAGAGGGGTCAAGACTCGGTTTTTTAAGAAGTGGGTGGATTACAGCATTCTTAAAGTAAGCAGGGACCTGACCAGAAACCAGAGAAGCATTAATTATAGAGAGCACGCTGGGACCGATGGACTGAAAAGCACTTTTAAACAAAGATGAGGGTAAGATGTGGAGGGGGCATGCAGAGGTCTTCATAGAGTTAACTAGTTTGGTTAACTCAGGCAAAGAAACAGGAGCAAAGCTATCTAGGATGATGGGCCTGGTTGGAGTCGGGAGAGGCAGCGATAAGGCTGAAAGAGAGATTCTAGATCTAACCTTATTGAGTTTGTCCACAAAGAAAGACAGAAAGTTCTCACAGTCTGCAACAGAGTGGATGGAGGCTGTAGGAGAGGCAGGAGAGACGATGCTGCTGATGGTGTTAAACAGCACCTTGGGGTTCCCTTTGCTCTGGGACACCAGGTTGGAGAAATGCGAAACCCTCGCGTCTCTGACTGCAGAGTTAAAGGCTGTCAGAAGATCCTTTAGCTGCAGCAGATGGACGTGGAGATGGGTTTTCTTCCACAAGCGCTCAATTTTTCTGCATTGGCGCTTTAGGCTGCGAAGGCTGTCATTAAACCAGGGAGTAGGGTTCACTGCAGGAACTGATCTGGTTCTGACAGGACAGATGTTGTCCAGAATGGAGAGGCAGTGCTCGTTAAACTGAGAAGTTCAGGAATCTGGGTCATTATCAGAAGAACAGGGTGGATCAAAAGCAGCAGAAAATATGCTAGCTGTGCTCTCATTAAGAAAATGAGGACTAACCATACGGCGAGCAGGAGGTGGGGATGCAGAAACTGACAAGTTAAAGAAAATGCAATGGTGATCTGAAATATAAACGTCCTCAGGACAAACACTGTCAGCATTTAGACTCAGGGTAAAAACAAGGTCTAGAGTGTGCCCCCTGGTGTGTGTGGGGCCAGAAGCATGCTGGGTAAAGCTGAAGGAGTCCATAAGGCTGGAGAAATTCATGGCAAAGTGATCAGAGGGATCATCAACGTGGATGTTAAAGTCACCAACAATCACCAGTCTGGACAGCTTTACAGTGGAGGATAGAAAGTCACTAAACTCCTGAAGGAAAGAACTGTTTGGACCAGGTGGACGATAGACCACAGCACAGTAGAACGGGTCCTTACGCCCGACTTTAATCAGCTGCAGTTCAAAGGAAGCAAAGTGACCAGATGTTGTAGAGCTACATGGATGATGGTCTCTGAAAACAACAGCTAGGCCTCCACCATGACCAGAACCCCGGGGCTGGCTACGAAAAGAATAACCACTCGGGCAAAGTTCAATCAGAGCAGAATAATCAGATGTTTGTTGCCAAACTTCAGTCAGAAACAGGAAATCCAGGTTTTCAGAGAGAGTTAAATGATTGAGCAGGAAGGACTTATTGTTAACAGAGCGGGTATTTAATAGAGCCATGCTGAGTGAGGTGGAGGAATCAGAAACTACAGAAACAGCTGGAGTTAGTGGATGTAAATTAGCAGGGTTAGATCCACGGTGTTTACAAAAACCACTAATGGAGGGAACAGGAGGAGAAACCACTGAGGAATGAGGATTAACAGACCTTAAAAAACTTGTACGGAGAAACCGCGCCGCAACGCGGCCTGGCGGAAATGCGGAAGTGGCGCTCAAGTCGCCAAACAAAGGACAAGAAGCTAGAAGATCACAACAATGTTTACCAGATAAACCACGCTTTAAGAGAAGTCTAATTCTCACCTGGATTCCTGCTCTTTTACCTCTTTTCCTCCGTTGTTTTCCCGGGACCAGATAAACATCGCTGGAGGCGCCCTGGTTGGAATCGTCGTTTGGCTCCGGGCCAGTGCGCCACTCAGATAAACAAACAGGGAGGTACGTCCTCGGTGCATCTTGGGCGATCGTGAACGAACGGAAGGACAGAAGAGTCTGGCGATCATAGGAGATGGTAGCAGGGACACTACTGAAGAGGATCACAGACAGGAGCAAGGTGGAAAAGAGAAGGTTAGTGGAGAAAAGTTTGAAAAAGTGGACGGTGACCGCGGCTAAGCCAAGCACAGGCGCCACCTTGTTACCCTCCATGAGGCCACCTCAGCTCAGCAGAACATCATTGTAGCTTCTTGTGGGGAGAAAGAATAAAGTTAACGGCTGAAATTGCAGGAAATAACTGGTCTTCTGTAACTCCTCAAAACGTTTTTCCACCTTCCCAGTTCATTAAATCTTTAATCAGACAAGATTGTGTTTCAAGCCTGCACACTTTATGTACCCGTATGCATCATTCAGCTTAAAGGTACATGGGTAACATAGGAACACTGACATGAATATGAGGATTAACATACAGAGGATTGATTAAAAGTATTCAGGATTATATGAGTGATCAAACATTTGTATTTTCTTCAGTTGTGATGGAGGACTAATATTGCACCTTTACAATTGTCCTCTAAACATTGTTGTTGTCTGAAACTCAGTGTGATGATACATGACCTTTCAAAACACAACTGCAGAGCAAAAGAAGAGCATGTCCATGCTTTGGGTTCAAAGTCCCACAAGAAAAAGATGTGCACTTTAAAAGATGTGCACGTGTGCTACTGCACAGAAACAGGTCCGTTTGGGGGGAGGGGGGGGGGTTCAATGTCAAGGTCTCTGAGAGGCCCGTTTCCAGGACCTGATAAAACCGCCTCCACTCTGATACGAAGCAGCTTAAATACCCGAGTCCAGCAGCTCCCTCTCCACTCCACTGGTCCACATTGATCCAAGGTGAGCTCTGCGTCAGCCAGGTCTACATGTGTGTGTGTGTGTGTGTGTGTGTGTGTGTGTGTGTGTGCGCGTTCCAGAGGCTGTAGCTGAGTGTTTGTGTCCTGCAGGTGTAACAGGATGTGTCTCCGGTCTCTTCTCCCCGCTCTGGCGCTGCTGCTGTTCTCTGCCTGCTGTTGGGCAGATGTGGAGGTAGGACTTCATCATGACTGCCAGCAACACATCTGGAAGCTGGACTGTCTTAAATAAAAGCCATTCAGACAGGTTTAGTGTGGACCTAGTGAGAGAGTTCTGGTTCTGTCAGGTGAAGTCTCACCTTTTAACAGAGCTGCAGATGATAATCTCCTAACTAAGGATGGTGAGGAGGGAGTGTTGATGCTGATGTCAAAAACATTACTTGAAGCTGTTTTAGTAGAAGTCCTTGTTTCTGTTGTGCTCACACCTCTCTTTACCCCCCCCCCCCACCCCCACCCACCCCACGTTGCAGCGTCAGACAGGTACGGTTCTTTCTACCGACACATTGAACTTGCTCCATGTGGCTGATGTGTTGATAAAATGTTGTTCCTGAGCAGACGACCTTGTGGAGGACCTTTCTGTGTCTGAACTCCTGGAGAGAGCCAACAGTAACCTGAGTGAGTCTGAGCTGCTGGTGCACTGATGGCTCCTCTTCCCTCACAGCCTGGGTGAGCGCTGACGTGTTGCTGTTGTGTGTTTTAGTCCGTTCTGAAGGTGAACCCATCTTGGTTGAAGGAGACATCGCTATTGGCAGCGAGGATGAGAGGAATGCTGATCCCTGTACCAGCCAGGGCTGCCTGTGGGGCAAATACACTGACGGGATGGTCTACGTTCCTTATTACATTGCCAGCCACTTCAGTGAGTGTCACACCGGGCCCAGAACCGCAGAACATGCTCACCTCGAGCTGTTCTTAACAGGTTCTGCTGTGGGTAGAGTTTAGTTTCCTCCAACAGGGTCATTTTTGTACCAGAACCCTAGATGCTTATCTGGGTCTGGAGGGAACCGAGTGCTCCACCAGCCAGGAGTCTGGCTCTGTAGAGCTCTACAAACTGAATTTAACGTATAAAAGACAACAAATCTGGATTCAGACTTTTCATAAAGCCGGCTCTAAGGGACAGAACAGAAGGTTCTGGTTGTGGGTTTTTTCCTGACTGAGCTCGGCACTGTTGGGTTTGCTGAAAACCCATCAGGACTTTGTGCTTCTAGAGCTTTGCTGGTTTGATCATCACAAGATAAACCGCTCTGACTGACCTGTTTTCTGGTCTGTTTTAAAATCCTGCCAGGTGACCGTGAAAAGGCCATCATCGTCCGTGGACTGGAGTCCTTCTCCTCCTTCTCCTGCATCCGCTTCCGACCCAGCAGAAGCAGCGACCGGGACTGGCTCAGCATTGAGTCCCAAAATGGGTAAAGGTCTCGTCCTGAAGAGCAGTTTGTGTGGAACACAGGGCCTCGTCTGAAATTCAGCTCACCTCTGACCCCGTCCAGGTGCTACTCCTTTGTTGGTCGTCGTGGCGGCAAGCAGGTGGTGTCCCTGGCCAGGCAGGGGTGCCTTTATCACGGCACCGTCCAGCATGAGCTGCTCCATGCTCTGGGCTTCAACCATGAGCAGACTCGTTCTGACAGGGACAACCACATCAGAGTCCTGCTGCAAAACGTTCAGTCTGGTAAGGCAGCTTCTCCTCACGCTGTCTGGATAAAACCCAGCAGAGAACCGGCTGGGCTGATCTAAAGTCAGAGCCCTCATGAAGCTAAAGGTGCAGCAAGAGCTGGAGATCTAAACTGTCTGTCAAACACAGGAAGATGTATTAAAGGAGAGCAAACAGACATTTTCCTTGTTGAATAAAGACAGCTTGGGTGGTCAACGGTAGCAGGCCCAAAGGTCAAAGCCGTGTGAGACCCACAGTTTATGTAAGTTAGAAAGTTTAAACATGTGAGAGAACAGCTTCTCTTCTGAGAAACCCTTCATCATAATGTCACTACGTGGAGCCCTTCCTCCTCACAGCCTTACGAACACGACCTCCACCCCTCCAGCCTCCACCATATGTAAAGTAAACGCACCCGCAGGAGGAATGGAGGATGTTAGCGGTAGCTCCTCCCTTAGAACTTCTCTTCTACGCTAAAAGAAGAAAGCCTGTTGTGTTCCAGGAGTGGTCGTAGGCCTAGCCGACAGAAATGGTTGAATTTCATTTTAAACCACGTCCCACAAGACACCCAGCTCCTGGTGCAACCACTGCTCTTCCTGAGTCAGGTTCAAACATGGAAGGTAGAACGCCAGATGAATCCATTTTCTGAACACATTATGAGGAGACTCACGGCTGTGACAGCGGCTTCAAGCTTCGTTGAAAGCTACCTTCTGGCTCTGAGGCCTGGAGAAACCAAGCAACCAACCAATCGGCGAGCAACTCGTGATCATGTTCATGTCGTGGCCGAGTGGGAGCGGTAAACGGCTTGTTTCAGAGCAGGTTAAGGGCCTGTAGCAGGGCTCCTGGGACAGATGAAAGACAAAAGAAAGTGTCTTACGCTTTTTAGAGGCTCAAAGTCCAGTTTTAGATTGTTGGTCTCCTTTAAGTCAAACAGAAACGTTTCTGCTTTACTTTTATGTCGGTTGCATTGAGCCGTCTCGTCTGGCTGAGTGAGTCCGCATCTGCAAGCTAATCCTAGACAACATCATCTGTTTTATTTCATCAGGAATGGAGCACAACTTCAGGAAGATCGCCACCTTGAACCAGGGCACTCCGTATGATTACAACTCAGTCATGCAGTACCACAAGTGAGAGGAGCTGCTCTGCCTGTTGGTTCTTGATGTGAACCTTTGGTCCTTTTAAACACTCTGTGTCTTCCTTAAGGTATGCCTTCTCCAAGAACAACCAGCCCACCATGCTGCCCATCCCTGATCCCAACGTCTCCTTTGGAAATGCCAAGGAGATGAGCAGGATCGACATTCAACGCCTCACCAAGCTCTATAAGTGCTGTAAGTCCGTATGAGCTGCCACGTCGCCACTGGTCCCAGATCTGATCCACCACTGTGTTTCTCACTGTTACAGAGGAAGTCCAGCTGTGACGGCAGGAAGAGCAAGGAGACTGAAGCAGACCTGAGTCAGAGCAGCACTACTGCCACCAGAAAACCAAAACTCAGGACTTCACACTCTTTAGTGTTTGTGCTGCTCTGCAGCCTAGTTCAGAATGAAAATCATTCCCGTTCAGTTTTAACGTGAATCTTTTCATGCAGTGGGAGTGTGTCCTTCTCCTCTTAAGGTGGAGGTGACGGGTGTGAAATGTCACGCTTCTGATCTTGGCTCTGATTCCTGATGAATAAAACCTGCATTACTAGCACCCCAGCTTTCTGTTGTTGCTGATGCTTTTATTTTGTCTCCCTAGTGGGGTAAAGTCACAACATAAAAAACTTAATGTGATAAGGCGTTTTTGCATCACTTCCTGTTTTCAGTGTTGCACTACGCGTTGCTGTTCGGTGTTTGCAGCTCGCTAAAATTGATCAGATTTCTCTGTACAAGGACATATCTGAGTTACTGTAGCACATAAACACACTAAAACACACATTTGCTGTTGTTCCACCTAGCTTTTAGGGAACCATTTGAGTTCGCACGCATTTGGTGTTGAACGGGTTGTTCGCCCAGTTAGCTTAGCCTCAGCACGGCTATGGCTACTTCTGTCTCTGCTTCTCCGTCTCCTATCTCTTGCTCTCTGTGTCAGATGTTTAGTTACTCCTCTGCCTCCTTTAGTGATAATGGTACCTGTAATAAATGTAGCATTTTTGTAGCTTTGAAGGCGAGGGTGTCAGAATTGGAGGCCCGGCTCCGCGCTTTTAAAAAGCCTGTAGATAGCCGTAGCTACTTAGCTAGCGCAGGGCTAACTGTCAAGTCACAGGAGCTGGACCCAAAATCAAATCTCGAGAACAAAGAGGTAAAAAGTAGGGATGTCCCGATCCGATCACATGATCGGAAATCGGCCCCGATCACGTGGTTTCAGACAGATTTTTCTTTCTGCCTTTAAGATCTTATAAAAACATTCCTGAACATTTTGGATTAATACACAACATTATTGACTAACAGCACTTATACATCAAGCAATATAGCAAAAAAGAGAGAGATGGAAAAGATATAAATAAAAATACAGAGAAGCAAAAATAAATAAATAAATAAATAAAATGCAGGATTATATATTACCCAAGCATATGTAATGCTTCAAATACACATTTTGTCTTAATCACCTTTTTGTTGTTTGAAGAAGAGATTGTATCTATAAATGTCTTTAAATCTACAACAAAATTATTAAACAACGGGTTCTTATGCATTACGTTACATTTGTGTATAAAAAACTTTGAAACAGAATCAGAGAAAGCAGGAGAGGGTCTTGCATCATAGTCTGTTGTCCCAAATAAAACATTTTTGAAACTCAACAGAAAGTCCACTTTAGTTCTTGAAATTAAAGTAGTGATATCTTTCCAAAAGATTTTTGTGACAGAACATTCCCAAAACAAGTGTACTGTAGTCTCTGGGTAGCGGTTACAGAAGGAGCAATATATATTAATGTTATGCTTAAATCTTTTATGAAGAAAATGCTTAGTTGGGTAGAATCTATGAATTATTTTAAAAGAGACTTCCTTCATTTTATTGGTAATAAAAAATTTGCGGTAAAGTCCATATTCTTGTCCAGTTAAGATCTTGCCAGAAAGTGTTCCAGTAGCTAACACAGGATGGAATTGAAACGAGAGATTTTTGTAATAAAGAGTGTATTTTGGAGTTAACTGATTTTCCCTGCGTGATGAAGCAGAGTTTGCCTACAGGTGTTTGCATAGGGTCTGTAGGGTTGTCTGGTCCAAACAGAGAAAAGTCAACTCCTTTAAACAACAGAAGTATGCCTGTCGGAATTGCATGAAGTACAGTGCTGTATTCATTTAAGGTTACTGAAACTTTATACTTCTTTAGAAATTCTGAATAAGTATAAAAGGAGCCTTCATTGTTAAGTAATTGGGAAACATTCAGAATAGCATTGCTAAACCAGTTATGGAAAAATAAGGATTTGTTGTTGTACAAAATATTACAGTTATTCCAAATAAAGCATCTGTGTGGAGAAAAGTTATTTTTATATGCAAGGGACCATGCTAATAATACTTGCTGGTGGAAATTAGATAGCTTGATTGGTATTTTAGAGATATTGTAGTTGCATAGGATAGGAGGGTGAATTCTAGGCCACCTAGGTGTGAGAAAACATATTTTGAGCTAAAATTCCATATAGAGTTTGGATTTTTAAGATAGGCTCTAATCTACTTAATTTTAAATGTGTTATTGAGAGAGTCAAAGTCTATAGCGTTTAGACCACCTTCCTTATCGTTATTTAAGACAATAGATTTACATAAATAATGAGTTCTGTTCTTCCATATAAAATCTGATAACATTCGATCTGCACATTTGATTATAGATTTGTCTACATACAAGGACTGGGAGGCATAAATTAACCTAGTCAAGCCTTCTGCTTAAGTGAGCAATACTCTACCTTTCTTTTTTATTTTTTATTTTATTTGTGTGTGTGTGTGTGTGTGTCCTGTCTGACTGTGAAGCAAACAGAATTGATGTGTGGGAGAGCATAATAGTCTACTTTTTTAGTGCTTCGTTTGTGCTGATTTGTGCAGGTAAAACTGACGTTTGGGCTGCAGCGGTTTCTGAGATATATGCTTGACAACATTTTTTCAAATACAATGTGTGCCTTTTATTTGTAAATGAGTTCAATAAAGTTTAGCAAGAAAACCTGTCTCCTTTATGTTTTTAAATAATCTTTATTTGTTGAACATATACAGTAGTAATCAATGTTACTTTTACAAATATTTTTCTTTCATCAATATGAGATATTAGTAAAAAAAATGTGTTCCACCAGGATTTGAACCCCCACCAACAATCTCCAAGTGCTACCCTTCTTAACCACTGTCCCACAGACCCTGCTGCAAACATCAGTACAAGGGCAAAACATAGCACAAAGAAAACCTCTTTCATTTATTTATTTTTACTTTATTGTGAACAGAAAAATCACCATTTACATTGATGTCTTTCCACAAACGAACAAGCTAGCAGTGTTGCCATCAATGCAAAGATTTTGGTTGGAAAAAAAGTGTAACAAGTAGGTTTTTATTGGATTATTTTATTTACTACGCAAGGTATTTTCTGAACAAGGTAAGATAATTGAAATTAAACTGTACATGCTAAGTTAATACAGGATGTAGTACACGTTAAAATTCACCAACAAGCCAGGAAGTGTGATTTTTTAAAACATTTAATATCTTTCGAAATAGATTATTTTATTTGCTAATTCAGGAAAACTTAATTAGGCTTAATAAAGCAATTCAAAAATAGCCAGGACACTGAACAAAAGTGCTATATAGTACATGTTTAAGTTTAAAACAATATTCAGACAGAATAATAGAAACAATTAAACAGCATTTAATTTAATTACATTACATTTTAATAGCACTATGATAAAGACAAATAGTAAAATATTTCTATATTGGTGGAGAACTGGGTTTCTCCATGCTGATTATATAGCCGAGGCATCATTTGATCCATCCTAATCATACTTTCTTTTAATTCTGATTTAGATGCCTCGACGGCCATCTGTAGACAGAGACTCACTTTTTGAAATCCTTTGCATCTTAAAAGAGGCCATATTCCAAAATGGCAAAATAGCCACTCCAACTGCCCCAGCATGGACAGAGATTAGTCATCAGCTGGAAGACAAGATGTCAGCAAAAGCCCTGTACACCTTTGTGAAGCTGAACAGACATAACATCTGGTCAGTTTTGGAAATCACTGATGAGGAGAGTGATGGTGAAACAGTGGTAGATTCCGGTGACATTTCCTCTGGACAAGAAAACTGTCTGGCCTTTAAACTTGAGGTACCTTTTGAGGACTGGGTCAAGTTCATTCCAGAAAAGGTTAAATATAAGGACAAGTTTTCTCATTTTCAAAAAAGAGAATACACTATTTTGAAGCCTGGCACTTGGACTCATATCTTGAACAATCTTATCTGGAAGAAAGTGAAAAACACATGCACACTTGTTTTCCGAAGAGCGAAGATCCATCCAACCACCAACAATAATTATTTGAAAATTAGAGGCCACTGTAAGGAATGCCAAGCTCAGGTGGAAATGTCATGTGACACAAAGCCAGCAATTAATAGTCCAATGCTGCTCCAGTGTTCTATTACACATATAGACGTGTTCCTGCACACTGGCTGTTCCAAGCGGTTCATGTCTGGAAACTTGCGTGACGAGATTTCCAAAGAGCTGTGTAAAGGCAGGATGGAACCAGCTGTATGGAGGTCAGCCAAGGCAGCAGATCTCATGGATGTTGGAGATCCTGAGCCAAGCCACCTTCCAAATTTGGCCACCCTGCGAAAGGCCAAACAAGAGAGGAAAGATTCGGAATCAGGGCACAAAGATCCCATTGCATCTTTACATTTATTTAAATATAGTGCACCAACCTGTGGTAGTATCCGAGATATTGGACTGGACAGGTTTTTTGTCACTATTGGAGTCAAACTCCGTTGGATGTTTACAAAACGTTGTCCAATAAAATGGTAAGTGGCCTGTATTTGATAAATGGCCTGTAATTGATGCAGCGCCTTCTAGAGTCATGGAACCCCTCAAGGCGCTTTACAACACAATCAGTCATTCACCCATTCACACACACATTCACACACTGGTGGGGATGAGCTACGACGTAGCCACAGCTGCCCTGGGGCGCACTGACAGAGATGAGGCTGCCGAGCACTGGCGCCACCGGTCCCTCCGACCACCACCAGCAGGCAATGTGGGTTAAGTGTCTTGCCCAAGGACACAACGACAGCGACAGACTGAGTGGGGCTTGAACCTGCAACCTTCCGATTACGGGGCGAGCACTTAACTCCTGTGCCACCTTCACCCCCCCCAAAAAAATCCCTCAACTGTGTGATTTGACGCAATGGGCTCAGTTGTGAAAAAACTGCAAACACCAAATGGCAGATCTGGTCATGTCTTTCTTTACCAAGGCGTTCTGACAGCAAAAAGTTGCCCCAGTGTCCAGGTAGTGCAAATGTTGTCAGAAAAACATGATATTAATGCCATTGCAAACTGGTTGACAGAATGGATTCGTTCGGGTGCACCTGTACCAAAGGAAGCGGTGAGTGACTTTTCTCTAGCTATTCTTGGTGCTCTGGTCAAGGCTCCTCACCCTGATCTGAAGTCCTACATCAACGAATGCTTTCATGTCCTTCTTGGAACTCGGGCTGCTAAACTTCCCCCTTGTTTCATCAGGGTGGATGTTGCACACTGCATCAAGATGATATGCCA